ATCTTTTCCTGAAAGAAGAAGAACAGTTGAGAGCATGATAACAATAATAATAGCAGCTGCTGTTTATTTCATACCTCCTTTATCCCAGACCTTTTGCGGACATTATCTGGTTTAATCCCCTCAAGACCCTGGCAAGAGCAGTATTAACTTCCCTGGGTCTCAGTTTCCTAAACCGCAGAGAGTGAAGGTAGGTGGTGTCATGCATCTATCAAGTATCAAGGCCATGACTTGAATCCAGGTCGGGCTGCGCCCAGCCCATGTCTGTTCTCCTTGCCCCACAGCAATGGGTGGCAAGACAGCAAGCAGAGGAACTTCCAGGTGAAAAGAGAACACAACCAACTTAAGAAGATAGGAAAAAATGATCATTCATACAGAGACTCTGAAAAAATGAGGTGGGAGGGAAGGCTTGCTCTTCTTTTCTTCAAATTAACCTTTAATTATTGCGCGTGTCCTTATCTATCAAAATGAAGTGATCTTTATCTGTTTTTTTTCATTTAGTTGTTAGGCAATCCTTTCAGATTAGGAGTTTCTAGACTAGTTGATGTTTAATAGAAGTGTAACAATATCATTCTGAATACTGGCTGTGGTGAAATCCCTCAAAATGAAGACTTAAACTCTAAATTTTTGTTTAAGACTCTCCCAAGTAAGGATATTCAATATCCAGAGGCAGGCTCTCTTCCCATCTCATTTCATTCTTAGATCTTCACTTAGTAAATTTAGCTCACACTTGCGGCTGGAAGGAAGTTATCTGGTTACAGGGAGATCTCCATGAAGACATGAGGAGTATCAGTTATTACCATCACTTGCTTTTCTTTGCCTTTATCTCACTCAGCCAACTGGGGAAAGACAAAGTCCTCACGGCTCCAAGCTTGTGGAAAAGAACCTTCATTTAAATGTAGTCAAGTGATTTGTACTAAGCAAAATTATGAGTACTTCTACAGAGAGAGGTAGGATGTAGCTGGGCCAGAAAGTACACTTTGCCTGTCCACATTGGACCAGCATGGCGTCTTACATCTGCTGTTTCATTGTATTAACCCCAAAACCCAGAGGTAGGAGATGTTTTATAACCTCATTACTCAGGTGAAGAAAAGGAAGATCTAGAGAAATTAAGCAACTTGCCCGAGGCCACATGGCTGGGAAGTACTGTAGTCACAGCTCAAACTCAAGTCTGCTTCATCTCAGAGCCTGTATTCTTTCAACTAACACAAGCAATTCAAGGGAAATTTAGCTATTTAGCTTTGGAAAATGAAAAGAACACGTTCCCAGCCTACCTCAGAGAAGATAAGGTGAACCCTAGGTCAAAGGAGAGGGACCAAGTCTTTCAGGTTCCCAGAATGCAGCTCTCATTGGCACCCTGCAGTGCACTAAATGACACCCCCTCCTAGGAGAGTAGTAGTTGAACATTACCTTGTTGTCTGAAAGACTTAATGACTCCCCGTTTCCAACCCTCAGAATGTAAACATTGTGCTAGACTGTGGCTTTCAATCATCATTTCCAGCATAGATGATATTGCAAAAAGTTCAAGCAGAAGCACATAAGTTCGCTGGGACCTGAGCACAGGCTTTTTCTCTTGCTCATGCTCCTGTGTGGGCCATCTGCCAGGACCCTCAGAAGAGGGGACATCCAGCTCTCCCCAACTGGGCACAATCTTATTCCTGGATGGACCACTTGTCCGTGTGCACTGCAGTTTCATGGAAGGATCCAGGAGAGCAAGTGCTGAAGGCGCAAAGAGGCTGGAGGGTTTCACAGGCCGCCCTCTTGCCCCTCATTCCTCGGCTCATCTCCTACTCCAGGAAGAGTTTGCAATAGGAAGGGAAATCCACTGGGTCTGTTTCTACAGAAAAATATGAGTGTGAGGGAGTACAGGATTATGTGAGGGGAGCTCATAAACTCCCAAATGTGTGCAGGCCTCTATGTCTTGCTTCAACAAATACTTATCTACTGTCACCTGAGTGGCAGGTGCCCTTCTAAGTACTGGGGATACAGTTGTAAGCAAAACAAAGTGCCTCCATGTAGCTTATATACTTATAGGGGAAAGAGAAGACCCAGGAGCAGATATAGGAAGTCAGAGGATGATGAGAGAGGGAGAGATGCAATGTTCTACAGTGTATTCATACAAGATCCTTACAAGGAGGTGACATGAGAGCAGATAACCAAATAAAGCACACGAAGGGGCCACAAAGATATCTGAGGAAAAGGATGTTCTAGAGAGAGGGAACCACAGGTATAAATCCCCAGAAGGAGGCCAGTGTGGTAGAAGGATGGAGGAGAGAACAGAGTATTCAACAGACGAATAAACCACTGGGAGATCCACTTCATTAATTTTAACTGCTTTATAGTATTCCTTGTAGGAATAAACCATATTCATTAATACTTCTGTTGACATACGTTAAGGTGTTTCCAGTTATCCATATCAAATCATAAGTTATGATGCATGTGGTAACGTTTTCTCTAATGTATGTATAAGGAACTGGAATTGCTGACCATAGCGAATGAGCATCTTCAGCTTTGCTACATATTGTCAAATGATTCTCCAAAGGGATTGTTCTCATTTACAGCTCCTACAACAGTATATGAAAACTCCCTTTTCCTAACATTTTCTCCAGCGTTTGGTGTTAGCAGATTCTTCGTTTCTAAAAAATTTCTACCCATCTGATGAGTTTGAAACAATCTATCTTTGTCATTTTAATCTGTATTTCCTTGATTACAAAATAAGATGGAGAGGTGCATTTTTTTCAAAGGTTTCTTGTTGATTCAGCTTTCCACTTTCATGACTGACCTTTCATATCCTTTGCTCATTTTTCTATGGTCTATTTATCTCTGATTAACTTGTAGGACGTTTTAATATATTCTTGATATAAATTATAAGAATTAAAAGATATTATCTTGGAATGTAGGGCTTTAGAAAATATTTTTGGGTATCTGTAAACAGAAAGAAGAGTTTTCATTTAATTTAATCAAATTCATTAATCTTTTTAAGATTTGTACTTTCCATATTTAAAAACTTGTATCCTCTTGTGATGTCATAAATACGTTCTCTTCCATTTTTGTCTAAGAATTTTAAAGCTTTGCTTCCTGATTTTACTATTTTCAGTGTATTTTTGCGTATATGTAAGATATCTATATCTATTTTCTTTCACGTGGAAAGCCATTCTTTCTCCATTGGTGAGTGAGACCACCTTTTATCCACTCCCCATGTCTATGTGGGTCTGTTTCTGGGATCTTTATTCTACTACCTGTGTACCACCAGCACACTATTTTGAATACGATAGCTTTAAAATAATTCCATCTCTAAATGGGTGTGTGCTGCTTCTTGACTTTTTCTCTTCAAAATCACCTGAGCTATTTTGGGCCCTGACTCCTGAAGAAGCATGAAATAGTTCCATATGAACTGACTAGCTTTGTGAAAAAAAAAACCCTGTTGAAGTTTTAATGAAAATTTTAGATTAGTTTTAGGATAATTGATCTCTTTAGGAAAATAAATCTTCTTGCCTATGAAATATATCTCCATTTATTTGTCTTTTTTGTATCCCTTCAATAATATTGTACAATAGATTCTACACAGGTCATCTACGTCTTTGCTTAGATTTATTTCTACATACCTAGTGGGTATTAGACATGCAGACCTTTAAAGATTACATTTTTTGATTGGTTATTGCTGATATTTAGGGACACAATTAATTACATTCATTAATATTTATATACTGACCCTGTATCTGTCAAATTTCTGAAATTCTTCTACATTTTCTATCAAAAAACTTATACTGTCTGTAATCATGACAATTTTTCATTCCAATAATTATGGTTCATATTTCTTTTTTTTGTATAGTGTGCTGTCTAGGACCTAGATATGGTAATAAAGGACTTCATTGTCTTATTCCTCACTTTGAAGGTAATATTCCCAATATTTTAGCATCACACATGACTTTTGCTTTAAATGTTGGTAGATATTTTATCAAATTAAGAAATTTCCTTTTGTTCCGAAAAAGTTCAAAAAATTCTGATACACTTGTGGAAATTTAATTGCTATTCCTGGACTGGTATCCGGCATGATGAATGTGGTCCATTCTCCATCAATAGAATGATAAATAGTAACAATATAAATGTCTACGTGTTCATAGTGTTTATAGAGAATATACTTGCTGGTTGCTCTTCTGTGGGCTAACATTTGAGATTTAGTGGTGGAGCAATGTAGCATTTTCTATAAAACAGTCTTTTTGGGTTTAAAATAGTCTCTTTTGAGTAGCATCACTAGTGTTTAGCTTTAGATCCCTAGAGTGATGGAACTCTCTCTTTTCTCACAAAAGTAAAGTTATGTTGAGAGCTCAAAATGTAGAAAATTAAATATTAGAAAATTCTTACAAAAAGTCAAGAAATTAGCAGACTATACTAAGTTCCATTTCAAATTTCTTATTCTAACAGCATTTCAGAAATGACTTGGGGTTTCAAATGCCTGTTGAGGTGACATTCACATTTCCAGATTAATTTACTTTAAATGAGTATATTTTTCAATAACTTTGTTGATTGGTCCAAGAATGTTTACAAGTCTCTGTCTGTTTGGGTTTTATCACTAATCACACCCACTTCTCTAAGGGTAAAAAAATGATATGTTTTTAACTAGATATAACTGAAATTGAAAAATGACATAATAATTAAAAACCTTTCAGAAATACAACATAAACTATTTGAAGGAGAGAGAGATCGAATTATTGGAAATATACCAGGGTAATCCACAGCTTCACAGAAAGAACTAAGGAAACAACATACCTTCAAGGGTCTCTAGGATTAGAATCAGATACAAGATACTCTTTTCTCTCTCTCTCTATCATCTCTTCCGTTCATCCATCATATTTCTCATCTCTGCTTCTCTCACTGAGCCTTTTTCCAGTAGTAGAGAACATGGACACTCTGCATAATGTTTGAAAGGTCCCTAAGACCACCCTCAGGTTCAATAATTCACTAGCAAGATTCACAGTTCTGAGAAAAGCCATTATACTCACAGTTAGAGTTTATCACAGATAAAAGAAATGGATTAAATTCAGCAAAAGGAAGAGGCACGTAGGGCAGGGTCCAAGACATACAAGGCATGTAGCTTCCAGTTGTCCTTTCCAGTGGAATCCTGCGGACAGCACGGATTACTCTCAGTGACAATGTGTGGCAACATGCACAGAATACTGCCAACCAGGGACGCTCACCCAAGATTCGTTGTCCAGAGTTTTTATTATGAGTTGGCTATGTAGACAGGCTGATCACCCACATGAATAGCCTTATTCTCCAGCCCCTCTAGAGCTGGTACCACATGGCCCAAGGCCTTCCACCAAAAATTATGTCGTTAGCATAGACTATCTGACCTGGCTCAAGAGCCCTAGGTAAACAAAGACATAGACATTCTTATTGGGCAGGACATTCCAAGGATTTACCGATTATCTCCCTGGGGCTGGGGGCAAAGGACCAAACCTTTCTTTGGGCAAAGTTAATCCTTTACTGCACATCCTGAGTCATGGAGTCACATCTTTATCAACCTGGGAAGGAAGAATTATATTCCCTGCTGCTTGTAGTAGAACAAATCCCAGGGGAGAATTCTGATAGGCCCATCTTGGGCCACATGCCCACCTTCGTACCAACCACTGTGATCCAGGGAATGAGGAACGTGATCCACCCAATCTGTGCCAAGGGTTCAGCTTCTAAATCAGAGAACTGGAGCAGCTATGAGAAAGATTTCATGTTTGTCAATGAAAAGAACCACAACAATTACTACAACAATAACCTTAGACGTTAAAAAGGAAAAAAGGCCATAGAGTATTATCTTGCTTTTCTTCTTTTGGATTAAGTTCTATTTGCTGAATCTGGATATGAGTAGATTTAAGACAAGTAGGTCTTCTCTTAAAATGACTGACTGTGTGTATGATACCAGAAACATCCAGTAATTTTTTCATATTTTTGTTATCAGTAGGAGAAAATATAAGTCAAAACAGCCAAGTGAGTGAGATTTTTATTTGTCGATGATTTTTGCCACTTGACTATAACTCAGCCTGTTTTCAAAATTTTTGTTTTGCATACTATGAGTCCTGCTTGAGATATCATTACTTGTGGTGAGAACCAAAATTCCAGTTTTATTATTATAACTCAAAAACATTATGAGTTTTAAGACAACAGGAAATTATTAGAAATCTGGATTTAGAAGAAATGTTATCACAAACATCCTTTCATAGCAATCATTTAAATTGTCACACTGTGGTTTAATTGCATACTTATTAATGCTTTTATAGAGAATAAATCTTAGCATGGAAAAAGTTGGAGACTGGAAGGTTATATCAAACTGAAAATAAAAATATCTTTAAAAGCATTCTCTTAAGCTCATTTCCTGTAGACAAGACAACCCCAGATAGTCTTTGAAGAGATTACCCAATTAAACTCTGGTAATAGAGGTTCTTCAGATTGTTTTTTTAAATATTCCTGACTTGAAAAAAATGCCCTAGATTTAATAGGGTATCATAGGACATAGGTCTGTGGCACCTGTGATTTTAGCTAAGTTCACTGAGAAACTAGATGCAAAGTCAATGCTAGTACACAAATCAAACCTCCTATCAGGGCAATGCACTTGGCATACTGCAGACTGAAAAATAATAATGATAATTATTATAATGATAAGTCATCTAGCCTCACAACAATCTAATTTTTATATGTTTGTTTTACAAATGTGAGACATGCCTGTCAAAGAACAGGACGTCCATGGCCCCAGGGCCACCGTAACAGGTGACAATGCAGAGATTTGAACTCCAGGCTCACTCCAGAGCTGTAGGCTTGATCAGGTAACCTGAGGAAGACAAAGCCACCTCCTGAAATCATTATCAGTCCCAGGTTGTCCCTCAACACTGGTGTTGACCTGCACAGTCTCGTGTCAATGTTTTCAGCAGTGGAACTGACTTCTTTGATCACCCATCTCCCACGATTGTCCGTGGTTTCCTAACTTCATGCCTCTAAGCACGTGGAAAGTGGCGCTGTGGGGAAGGTGGCGAGGAAGAAGGAAGGAAAATCACTGCAGCTGGATGGGATAGTATAATCTCATCCAACTGTTCTTTAAGGCTCAGTTCTAATCTTATCATCTCCCCAAGCCTTCTGGATTGTCTCAAAGTACAAGCTCTTGACCACCTTGCCAAAGACCTGCCAGGTTCTGGTTGGCAGACAGCTGGGATCCCTCCATCCATGACTCCCTAGTGCCTGCGAATGCTAAACCTCACATACCCCCAGACTGGACAGCCCCTGTCAGGCTGGCCATAATGCAAGAAACAAACATCGTCTATGGCCACGCTTTAATTTAGACCTCGTTAGTAGTGAAGACGTTTCTGATAACAATTTTTTAAACCATCTAGTTATTTGTACAATTTCAAGAAGTTGTATGTTTATTTTTCTTAGCTGCTTAAGTTCAATTGTTGCTATTTATCTTGAAGTAAGACTAAATATTTTAAAATTTGGAATGACAAGCTGATATGGCCCAAATTCTTTTGCCTCGCCAAAGTCTAATTTTTTATAAGGATACAGTTTGCAAATTTATTTTGGAAAGGCCAGTTGCCTCAGAAAGTCATTCTCAAGCTGAGTGAATTTATCAAACCTATATTATTTTTAGCCTGTCTAATCCTTTTTCCAATTCCTTGATGGTCATAATGTATAAAAAACAGAAAAAATAAGCGGGCTCAAAACATGCCAAAAATAAAAACTTACGATTTCGAGCCTTTATAGATTGTCTCTCTCCTCATTGGTGTTTTGAAAAAGTTTTAATCTGAGAAAGAAAAATAATTCTATCACCAGTGATAATTTGAGTTCATGCAAGGACTTTTATATAAAGTGCTCAAATAATTTTTCATTTAGGCTCAAGATAAGCAAGTAAAACAAATAGATGATAATAATAACAGTAGCATGGTTCTCAAACACTCACTATGCGTCAGGCACTTGACACATATCCTCGCATTTAATCCCCACAGAAAGGCAATTTTTATCATCTACTTACAAATAAAGGAACTGAGATTCAGAGAGATGGAGTAACTGGTTAAAATTATACAGAGATGCTCAGGATTTGAGCCCAGGTTGTGTGTCTCTAACCTTAAGTACTGTGTTGAGGCGATTATGCCAAAAGGGCTTCTGATCTTGACTGCGGAGGGCAGCCTGGAGCAAAGCTCCAGGTTCCCTCTCCACCTGACCTCACACCACCAAAGGCTAAGGGTCACCAGACTGTCGCCCAGCTAGTTCACGACCAGCCAGGATGGGATGAGAGATGCGTTGCTGTTCATGCAAATCTTTCTTTCAATACTAGATACATCTGTGATAGCAGCAAACTGTCCTTATTATTTCATTTTAGGTAGTTAGAATTAGAACTTCTTTTTCAAGACATGAATTGAACAGGAAACGTTGTATCTTAAGGCCAAAATGGATTCATTCCTAACAAAGATTACGCCACTCATCCATATCCAACTTAACGTTTTCTTAATTCGGTCTACACAGAATCACAGAATTTGGAGTTTTGAAAAAGAGCTATTAGGTTCATTCTGTTGATTCCGGTAGAAGTGATCCAATTGATTAAGAATTTACTATCCCCTTCAGAACATGTTTTTCCACTAGATTTAAATTGGTTTATTTTTATCGTGATATGTATAGTCAATGTTATTCTTAAAGTACACACAAATTTACCATCTACAATCAGGTTTTCTCCACATACATATCGACTCAATAGCTGTTTGTTTCTACCCCAGACAAAAATGACACCCTCCGTTAGCTAGATGGTATACATGTCAAGTTTGTGTGTTTCTCTGGCTTCTGGCATGAGACGTGCTCAGGTGAAATCTTGCCCCTCAGAGCAATCTTGTAAACAAGTGGGAGAATTATCAGCTTCATCTCTAAACACCAGTTTTATAGTTTAGACTTGCAGACACCAGCTGCTTCCTAAATACAAGTTTGTTGAAATGATGGAAGCCACCAGTAAATATCAAAATCTATTGTTTCCAAAATATCTTCGGAATGTAACATGTTTCTAGTTTAATAATAATTAAGTAGACTCTTGGACTCAATACCATGGTTGAAGAAATACTTAAGTAGTGACAACAGGTATCCTAGACCCCCAACACAGCCCCACACATTGATTTGTTTGTCTTTGATGTAGCCATTTTAAAAGCCATTTAATCATTAAGAGCTCTAGTAGGCAGAAATGTGAGTTGTGGTCATTAGCCCTTCCCAAGCAGAAGATTTGATTTCTAGCCCTAGGTTCCTCTGGGCTCTCCTTCAGGATTTTCTAGGGCTCTTCTTCTGGTCTGCACACATAGGATGGGGAAAGAACTACACCCTTCACATCGTAACAAGTGCTGAGAGGACAGGGAGCTAGTGAAGGCCCCGAGATAGAAAGATAGCTATCTGCCCACGGGTCCACCAGGGCTCAGCTCCAGAAGAGCAAACTATGGGCCCAGAAGGAGCCTTGAACTGCAATTGCTTGTGTTCTTCCCTTTAGAGATGAGGAAATAAAGGCTCCGGAAACAGGCTCCCAGCGGTGGCTCTACCAGAGGCCGAATCTCTGAGTTTCTTGTCCAGTACACCATCGTGTATAATAATGGCCCCAAATTGGGGTCCTCATTGCTCTTAAGAGCTCCCAAAGGGAGCAATGGATCCCTACGATTATTTCCTACATTCTGAAAAGCCTAAGAAACCCCACATTTGTCATCAGTTAAGCCACACTGTGATTAATAAATGTAATGAGGTATTTTTCAATTAGTGATATTCATGGGGAGTCAGAAGCAGATAATTAAAGGAGTCCTCGATTTAAACAAAAAGTAAGGAACGCTTGCACTGTAGCACACAACATGCTCTGAAGAGCTATGGAAGAACATGCACTAGCATGTGCGTATTTATGTGGCCACAAAAGTGGCTGTGCCACCTTCACAGTGTTGATAACCATTCTACCTGCAGGTCTGTGTGGCTGAAGCCACCCCTGTTATGAGAGAACACATGCATTTGACTGAGGCCAGAGGTTCTCAGATTTCCATAAAACGACCTCAACAGCAATGAAAGGAAAGGACGGGGAGGAAAAGGAGATACAAGGAGAGAAAAAACAAAGGAAGGGCTAAGACTTATTCAGGCACCTACTTGTTTCTCTTTACCTTTATGACACCTCAGGTAAGCTGATAATACACTTAGATTCAATTGCAAAGTAAGGAGATCTGATACAGAGCTGGGGGAAACGGTTTCCCTACGTTGCAAACAGGGAAGAAAAAAAACCAGTTGTTTTTTCTCAAAAAGGATATATGCAAACAGGGAAGTCTTAGACATCTCCTAGTCAGCCAGGTCTGTATACTCAGTTTACTGATTCCCAGAAGGGAGATGAATTGGGAAATGGGGCTCATGGTCTGGACGTTTGCCGGTTGTTCTTTACCTACAGTTTCGACAAATATGATCTCTTGTAATCAGCCTGTGCTCTGACTCACGGACTATAGCAGGGAGCAATCTTAGCGCCAACTCTCCCAGTGCACCTGCTCTCCTGCGAGGCCTGCATTCAGTTGGCATGGCGCTCCTAAGCAGATTGGCACGAAACCATCCTCCCAGGAAAACAGCATGTGCATCGTGTCAGGAGTGTAGGGGTGGCTTACCATCCCAGAATTCCAGCTGAGAAGTTTGGATTACATAGTTCTATGCCTGGAAAAGAACGTGGCTACTCCAACTTTTCACATCTTTTTATTTTTCTAGGATTTCTTCATGAGTAGGAAAAAAACACCCACAACTTTTGCTGGAAATTGAGATTCAAAATAATTGATGCTTGGGGGCTGCCTGGTGCCGCAGTGGTTAAGTTCACACTGTCCGCTTCAGTGGCCCAAGGTTCACCAGTTCCGATCCCGGGTGCGGACATGGCACCACTTGGCACACCATGCTGTGGTAGGCGTCCCACATATAAAGTAGAGGAAGATGGGCATGGATGTTAGCTCAGGGCCAGTCTTCCTCAGCAAAAAGAGGAGGATTGGTGGCAGGTGTTAGCTCAGGGCTAATCTTCTGCAAAACAAACAAAAAAAAATTGATGCTTAAAACTTTAGTGTTAGAATTTAATTTTTCCAGATAATTTTTCTCAGTGCCAAAGAACCCCCTTTCAGTGGAAATATTATTCAGAATCTCAGTATATAGCAAAAATAAATAGCCAGGGAAGCTTCTGGAGGAGTGGTGGGTGGAAGGAGGAGGATGTGTCCTCACCTCCCTCTTACAGCCTTCTGGGATTCAGAAAAACATGTTTCAAAAGCTGCTGAAAGACACTGATCTCTGTCAAATTAAAAATGTCCCCTTCACAGATACCCATTTATATTCTTATCCAGCATTTATACCTAGTGTGAATAAAAGCGTAGATAGGGAAGCTTGTGGATATTACATAAATAATTAGTTCTTGAGCTGGGTCAGGTGCTCCCGCGGGAGGCAGAAGGAGGAAGAGCATTGTGTGGTCCCTGTTTCCCCGTGAGCAGCCCCAGCTTATCTTCCAGCTTTAACAGCATTGATTGAGCCCCTAATATTGCAATAAACCCTGGGGATGCACAACTGAAGCCCAGAGGAGCGTTATTTAGTGAGCAGTGTAGCACTAGCTTCTATCTCAACCCAGGACCTCCTGGGACAAGGAACTGAAGAGCCAGATGCCCTGTCACAGAGCAGCTCCCTTTACTCTGAGCTGTTCTCCCCAACCCCGAGCAGACTGTAGATCTTATGCCCCAGAGGCTGCCCACTGAGCCCAGAGGTTGCAACCAGCCCATAAATGCGTTTTGTTTGGCTCTCACAGCATGTAATATAAGATATATAAAATAATATGAACATATAAAAGAATATATATATAAAATAACAGATAGATATAAAACAATATGTATATATACACATATGCATAATGTCTATAAATATACATACAATATTTTAAAATCTAGAGATTCCATATTTAAAAATTATAGATGCTGTACCAAGTCAGAGCCCCCTTTTCATGCGGAAACAGTAAACTGAGGCAAGGCTACTCCTTCAAATGAGCACATGCTCTCACATCTGCTCCACCAAGGCAATTTCACTCTTATGAGGATTAAATGAAATAATAAATGACATTAAAATATTCCCAGCACATAGTAGGTGTGCAGTGAGTGGTGGTTATTTCATTTCTTTATTTGCCTAGCCAGGCGAGGCATTTGAGTTTTGACCCGTGTTTTACACACAGTCCTTTAGAAACCACTTGAGAATTTATATCACTCGTATCAAACACCATATATGGTCTGAGTATGTTTAGTTCAATTGGTTTCCAGTATAGGAAAAGAAAACAATACATGAAATTTTAGAGGAGAATTAGTGACTGCATTGTGGGCTTTTTAAAGCATTTCCTGAGATTTTACAAAAGAAAAATATGGAAAGTAGAAATGATATGGGAACCATTGCATTCTCTTAGAATGTGTGCTCCTGAGAGTAGCGAGTTCAGGAGCTGTGCGAATGCCAGACCTTTCAAGCACTTAGCCCAGGCCCGGGTGAAATGGAGACGCTACACAAGATACTAAAGTCATTAAAGCCTCGTGGTGCCTCCTGGGCATGGTGCAGGGGAGCCAGAGAGGGATGGTGACCGTGAAAGTATGCCACTAAGTAGAAAAGTCTGGTAGCACCAGTGGTCAAACTGAATGATTAAGGTCAATAACATTTCCAACCCACCCAATAAGCCACACAGTGACCAAAAGCTGCTGCCTCTGCACTGGAGGAAATACAGTAAAACCGTATAAGGAAGGACATATCAGCCTGCCTAGACACAAACAGCCAACTCAAATATTTTTTGGATTTAGGCAAGGAGAAGACAAAAAATAAACCTAGGGGCAGGCCCTGTGGCATAGTGGTTAATTTCAGCACACTCTGCTTTGTGGTCTGGGTTCGCAGGTTCAGATCCCAGGCGTGGACATACACCACTTGTCAGCCATGCTGCGGTGGCAACCCATACACAAAATAAAAGAAGATTGGCGCAGATGTTAGCTCAGGGCTAATCTTCCTCAAGCAGAAAAAGAGGAAGATTGGCAACAGATGTTAGCTCAGAGCGAATCTTCCTCAGCATAAATAAATAAATAAAGTCTAAACATTTAATTATTTAAAATACCTCCGCATGCAGCTATTTTGTAAAACTCCCCAAGTCAAGTAGTAAAATGAACATAATTTATAAGTTAAGTCAAATGTAGGTAAAGATTCAGGTATGAAAACTGTTTCTATACATATAAATATATTCAGTATTTATTAAATGTAGAGGGGTCAGGAATTAAAAACTCAAAATTAGGCAGACGTGATAACTTTGTGAATCCTCAAAGATTGTTTCTAAAAAAAAAAAAAAAGGAAAATTCAGTAGTGGGCTGCCTGATTGAGGACCAAATATAAAGTGAGTTTGCCTCATATTCTCCCAAACAGTGGTAAATTCCCCAAACCTAATCCTAGTGGAGGACATGAGGGGAAGAGGAGGACTCGAGAGCTGATGGGGATAACACAATGACAAGGAAGGAGGAAGGAGAAGAGTTATAAGTTGTCCTAGGAAACTTGGAAGAAAACTCAAGTTGAACCCAACTTGGACTCCCTTTCCCTGATCCTCTCCTCTCCTCCCACTTTCCCATCACCCGGGGGATTGATCTGCTGCACTTCTTCCCTTCCAGCCCTAAGCCCCTTGGATCTCTTCATGGTCGCTTAAAGGTTTTCAAGTTACTCACGCCACATGTCTTTAGCTGAATGAAGTCTCAACTCAATGGAATGAAACTAGGAAAAGGGGAAGAGCAGGACTGGGGAATCAATCAACCAGTCTGAGTTGAGTTTCTGAGTTTGCTGAGACATCAGGCAACAGGTTGCAGTATTTATTATAGGTCTAGAGAAGAAAAGGAAAGTAGGCTACTAAATTGCACTGCAAACGTTTATGTTTCTGTCTTTCCCAATAGATGATGAGTCCTAATTATTTTTATATCCCCAAGTCTAATTCAATGCTGTTCCATAGTATTTGCTCAATTAGATGTTTGAGTGATTGTGCAAATACAATTTTGGAGTTCTTGGGTATCTTCTTTTAAAAAGCACAAAAGCATATCATACATGCCATTCCTTCTCAGCTCCGTTTGCTAGAACTTCTTCCTCTGTTTCATCTCTAGTTGTTGGAATAACCCTGACTCTTCTCTTCTCTGACTATATATTCATTCACCCTAGATGGTCTCATTCAATTTCTTGGCTTTAAACACCATCTATCTGTTCTTAACTCCTGAAGTTCTATCTCTAGGCTTTGCTTCTCCACTGAGCTCCAGACTCATGTGTCCAACTGCCTATTGGGCATCTTTACTTAGATCTTAAATATATCTCTTGAAGTTAACATAGCCAAATAGGATCTTATGATTTTCCCCAAACCAAACTCCATTCTCACTCATCTTAGTATATGACTCTAGCCACAAACCCATGTGTCCTTGATTTTTCTCTTTCCCACACTTCCAACATTAAATCCGTCAAAAACTCCTTGTCTCCATCACCACTTCTCTCTGGCACTCCCATTTCTTGCCTGAAACAGCCTCCTAACTGGGCTCCCTGCTGCTACTTTTGTTCAAGAATCCGTTTTCCATGCGGCAATCACAGTGATCTTCCAACAATGTAAATACGACCATGTCACTCTCCAGCTTCCAAATCTCTCTCAACTTCCCAATGCATTTACCATAAAATCCACACTCCTTATCCTGGCTTATCAGGAAAAGGTGCCTACCTACACGGTGCCTACCTCATCTTCGGCTACTTCCCCCCTCAACCCCCCATTTTTTGCTATGATCCAGCTACCATAATTGTTTTCGTGTTCTTTAAACACCGCAAATCTATTTCCACCTTAGGGTCCCAAAACGTGCCGTTAACTCTCCTTGTCGTTCTCCATCCTCACACTTTGACACCAGATTTCTTATATAGCTCAGGTTTCAGCTCAAATGCCGTATCCTCAGAGATACCTTCCTGGCCACCTAAATAATACATTTCCTCCTCCCACCCCACAAATATATCACTTTTTATCTTATCACCCAAGCTTTTTCTTTTTAATTACCAAACTCTTACCACTGTCTGAGATTACCTTACTCTTTGATTTGTATGCTTATTTCACATCGTTCCCTTTAGGATAGGAGCTTTCTATTCTATAAGAGCTTAGTCCATCTTATTTACCAATGTGTCCCACAGTCCAGCACAATGCCTGTCCCAGAACGGGTGATCTGTTGAATGAATACTCTGTGTGTCACCATCACATTGGTCTGAATCTGAAGACAATACCGATGGTAGAGGCAACATAAACTCTTACCCTGCTCATCACCGTCTGCTTGACCTTGGGCAAATTACCTGGCTTTCCCAGACCATAAACTGGAGTTTAGGAAGAAGGCTGAAACTAGCACCTTTGATGAAGTTGAAAAGCAAATTCTTCAAATGGAAGAAAGAGCCGGTAGAAGACAAGGGACTGGGATCTTGGTCAGGGGAAATGTCGGGGATAATAGGGTCTGTTATCTTAGGAGTAAAACTGTTTAGAATATACGTGATGGGAAAGACTTGTGAAGATGAAAGTCACCATAACTTAAAGAATGGTAGAACCCCACAATTATGCTATAAGATAGAATTTACCCCCGGATATTAGGAAATGCTTTCTGTGTCCATCTCTCTTCCATTAGGATGGACTACCCTTGCCCACCACATCCATGAAAGAACACAAGGAGCCAACCCACAACAATCACCAAAAAACATGTATTTTCTGTATCAGTTGTCTTGAAAGTGGGGAAATAGCCCCAGTGGATGAGCAGAAAGAGAATATTAGAACTCCTATGAATATTGATTTTTATCTCCTTTTTTATTACTATTTTTGTCTGTGTTTAATGCACATAAGATTTTATTATAGTAATACATGTAAAAGACATATAAACGCACATGCACAAAGTAAGACTACATGCAATTGGGGCTTTTTCTTTTGCATCTCTGACAAGAGTTTTTAGTCAGTTTTAGATATGATTGGTTTTAATGACACATGT